GGATTTTCATAACCACACACAGCCTTAGCATGATCGTGAAGCTGAAAAACTAAGTCTAACCACCTTTAATCAGGTACCACCTATACTGGCTATTGTTCTCTGGCCCACAGTGACTTACTGAGAGAAAGCAAAGTGATGTGCTGGGATGACTCTATGCTGTGGACTGCTAACTCACGAGGCGGAGCTTAGCAGAGGCTCTTACTGGGGGCTCATAGGCCCATGAGGCCACAGAGGATCTCAGAGTCTTAGAAGGAGTAATGCGAGGAAGGGAGGGTCTAGAGCCCATAACCTACCTTCACCTTGCTCAAGTCCACTTTCACATGTTGAGATTCCTCATAAGATTGCACTAGGATAAAAGTCTCTATAATCAATAATTCACCAACTGTGCATGTGCTGTACATGGAGTGCACCCCCTCACTGATGTGAAAAGCTCCAGGAGTATTTCTGGCCACAGCCCAGGGAGTCCCAGGAGCTGCAGGGGCAGCCAAAAGATATAAGGGTGAGCAAGTCAGTCCCAGGGTCCTGGCTGTGTGTGGACAGCAGAGAGGACTGGTAAGTTTGCGCTGAACCTGAAGGCCAGGGAGCCTGAGCTGCAGCCTGATGGTCCTGCTGGTGAGCCAGCCTTCTGCAATAGGACAGGACCACCCATAGGAACATAGCAAGTGCCTGTATCCCATTGGGCAGTGAAGTGGGGAAAAAGAGAGGGACAGTAGAGCCTAATGTCCAGAGGAAGCCACAGGGGAGCAAGAGGTGAGAGCACAGGTGGCTGCCACAGTGAGCCTGAGAGGGAGCAGAAAGACAAGGAGGAAACGCAAGCAATGCAGGCAGCTGGGATGTGGGAAGAAGAGCTGGCAGCTCCCTAGGAATAAAGGAAGTCAAGCTCCAATTCAAGGCTCTCTGGTGCACAAAAGCCCACCAGGAACAGGACCGCCAGGATCAACACACAAATGTAGTGAGACAGAAGGATGCATCAAGGAGCAACAGTCCGAGTGCTGAGTCTCTGAACACGATCAGTGACATTACTCTACACCACAGTGCCTCCCAACCCTTTTTCGACACAGTGCGCCTCCTCGCAGAAAAGACTCCCACCATGGTGGCAGGAACGGTTCCTCACCCACATAAAGATGCAGGTGTCTGCCCCAGCAGCAGCTTGAGAAGCAGAAGGTGCAGGTCAGGGGCACCACACTGGTTCAAGAGTAATGCTGATGACAGGTCACCCAAGGGCAAGAGAGTGGGGAGTAGAGGGCAGCAGATTCAGCCCAGAGTGGGAACAGAAGTGCAAACAGTGGGCCCAGCGAGGATGCTCTGTGGGCATGATGAGTGGGGCACAGGAACCCTGCACAGAAGAGAACCCCAAGTGCAGTATCTCCATGCAGAGTGGCTGGAGCCAAGTGACGTCATTATTTTAATCTTGCTCTATCTTTCTCTAAGAACTGCGAAGCAGGGATCATCATAAGCAAGCTCTGTCTTTTCCATTTCATGGAACAAAGCTCTTCCTGGGATATCGACTGCCTTACCTTACAGCGTAACTACTGAAGCCCGCCCCTCCAATCTAATTCACCCAGTGTCAGCAGGGACAAATCAGGAGGAGGAGTGGGAGGCTTAAGACAGCTCCGGAAGGACAGGTTTCAAAATCCAAGCCACCTTTAAAGCGGCACCAAATGGAGCCTTTAGACAAAGCACAATAAAATTATATTCTAGATTAATGTAAACTATTTGTGTTATATAATTGCCGCCCTTGTTTTCTCTGTTTTTAAAAATACTTTAGATTTAGGCTCATGATTATATACATGTGATTACTAGGAAAGGGAATTAAAATGCACTCTGAATGTAAGCTAAGAGATGACAAATCAGCCACCAATCACTGAAAGTTTTCACTGGGGTCCTTGCAAGGTCAAGGAGGACGAGAACAAAGGAGAAAAGCAGGTTGGGATGGCTCAGTGGCACTCACCCGACAGTGCATCTCTGCAAAGGCATTCACACCAGGCACGGCAGGCCAGCAGGGCCACCTTTCTCTACATGGTGACAGGCTGGATTTGCTCATGGCCACATCATGCTTGGGCTCTCCTCTGTTCCTCTCTGACGAGGGCTCTCAGAGGCAGAAGCAGAGTAACCTGTCCCTGGGCAGCTACCGTGTGTCCTTGTCTACCACAGAAGGCTGGCATCTCTTTCCCCCCAAAATCCGAGGATCTCCAATCAAATAAGGAACTGGGAGTCACTGCTTTAGGTGACACATTAAAGCTGCTGAAATGTCTCTCAGCTTAACACACCCTGCACAGACACACACGTATGCACACACACACACCCAGGCTGAATGTCCCATGGTACCACTGCTGGACAGCACATAGGACAGGTGTCACAGAAAAAACATGCTGAGAAAATCATATCCCAACACCCTAGCCGGGGAAGCAAAAGAGTCCCTTCATGTATGAGGCTGCCTCACAGGATCCAGATGACTACATGGGCAGATCTTCCAAAGCTGCAAAAGAACTTGAAGTCTATATTTAGCTGTGAACTCTCAAGTTTTAAGTACTAGTAAATAAACATTTGTGGGCCCTGCATGAGCCAAATAAAGCACACTTGGAGGACAGAAAGCCACAGGGGCCTTGGTTTTATGACTGCTGCACTAACAGATATTCTTCAGGGTTCAAAATGAGAGAAGTATAACTTTTAAAAAAAAGTACATAGCTGGAAAAATGTCTATACTAACTTATGCTAGTATAAGGCACCTCCTTAAACACAGGTGTATGAATATTATTATCTCATAAAGTCTTCATGCCCTAAATTGTGTAACCCAGAATAAAGTCTGACACACTCAGCCAATGCCAGGCTCCCTGCAAGCACTCTACTGTGTTCTGCTTGGCTCTCTGGGTGACTTCACACAGTCCCAGCCATGGAGCAGGACCCACAAGGACCACCCACTTAAAGGACAGCAGAATGAATGAACCTGGTTCTTCCAACAGTGGAAAGAAGTGGACTGGGAGGACTGAAGGCCGGAGGCCAAGAGAGGATGCAGGAGGAGGAGTGGGAGGCCAGGGCAGATGCATCCCCAGTGATCCAAACAGAAAGTGTGATGCACAGCAGCAGTCTGTGGGGCCCCCAGAGGTGACATGAGGTGATCACCGAGAGGGATGTGAGTCCAGAGACTACAGAGGAGACCTGTGGTCCCTGGATGCTGGTCCTAGTTGTGGCCAACCCTAGTCAGCAGGGCACCCTCTCAAGGCTCCAGGCACGTCTTCCACAGTCCAGGGAAGCAGCAGCCCATGACAGGACAACGTGATCCGTGGCCGCAGGTCTCCTCCTACCTCCTTCTCAGGACTACACCTGCTGGAGTAGTGGCATCTGAATCCTGTTCACATTAATATCTGTCCCTGATGTAATGGCCCATTAAGAAATACTGATAAGATGATTTAGAAGAGGAATTTACAAATGCCACAGCTCTAAATTTATTTTCAGGACGGGAGCCCAAATATGAAGGGATTGTTGTGCAGCTGGAAAATTCTGGAGCTTGGATTCTCAACAATTTCTGGTTATCAAAACTAAAAACAATTCAAGGTGTCATCAGGCTTTTTCGTTTATGATTGAAATGAGCAATTCTTCCTCTCTTCTAAGTCTTTTGTGTTGGCAATTCTATCCTTAATTAAAAAGGCGTTGGCATTTTCATTACCAAAAAAAAAAAAAAAAACCCTCACAGATAAGATACTCATATTTGGAGAAAATGCACCAAGTCTCCAAATGAAAATAAATGCCAGTTTACAGAATGTTAAGGGTTCAACAGTCCAAAACCTGGGGAAATCATACAAGTTTCTGACAGCAAAGTTTCTGACATACAAAGTTTTTGACTGCTCAAAAATCAAACCTTAGTCCTGTGATTTTTATTACTCAAATTTGCAATTACGACACAAGGGAGAAATTAGCTGACTTCCCTAACCCCCCTACTGTTTTTTGAGGTCTTCTTAGCTAAAATAGTAAAAGAAAATGCGACTAGAATGTTCATTTACAAAACAGTCCACAAATGTCTCCTTTCTCCAGACACTGCAGACAGCACAGAGCCTGAAAGAGAAGGTCATGTCCCTCCTGAGGTCCAGCCACCAAGGCCCAGTGGCATCAGGCAGGGCCGGCCTTGAACATGTGTCTATCCTGCTCCTTCTCTGCTCCCTGGCCTCCCTGGCCTCCTCAGCCAGCTTCTGGACTTTGGTTCCTTTGATCAAAAAACCACAAAGCAGCTGGTTCTTTGCATGAGCTGCTGCCTGGACTTCACAGGTCCATCCTGACCATGGCTGATCTCCACCTTCTCCCTGCAAGACAGGCAGCAGGTGAGTAGAGGGTAGGACCCTCCACAACATCAGCAGGCAGCAGGGAACAGGCTGGGGAGCTGCTCGGTGCAGCCACCTGGGCTCTAGGTCAGCCCCTCCTTCCCCTCCTCTGCCTGCATCCAAACCTTCATGACCGAACCAGGCACCATACTGTCCCAGCTCCCCTGTCACGTGCACCCCTGCTCCCCGGCACTGGAATACAGGCGAGCAGACACAGTGCAGCCTGGCTGCAGAGCAGCTTCTCCACCGCTGCAGAGCAGGTCTGAGGCCTCACACCTCCATGCACGACTGACACAGATTGCTTCTGCTTCTTGGTTTCACAACAGGACACACTCACCGCCATACACTCAGAAATGCCAGGGAAGAATAATGACTCACCATCATACCAGTCATGGACTACAAGATTAATTCTTTGACATAAATACTCTTAAAGAATTATGCATCTACATGAACATGTATTTACCCAAAGGGGCCACCCCAGATACACACTTTAATTAACTCTGCTTAACATGTCATAAATATCTTTCATGTCAACAAGTATTCTCTTATGAAATATTTCATGACCAGACACACTTCCTTGAATAAAGAAAGAGAAGCTGTGTCAGATTTCCATAGCTGGGACAAAATACCTGAAGTAATCAACTTAAAAGGAGGAGAGATTTATTTTGAATCAAGGTTTCATACCATGCTCACTTGGCTCTGTTGCTTTGGGCTACTGTACAGAATACACAGCAGGAGGACGTGGCAAAGGTCTGCTCACCTCACGGTAGCTAAGAAGCAGAGAGAAGAGAGGAAGGTTACCACTCACACTTCTGTTCTGTGGGAATCTCTGCACTAATGAGGGGCTGTGGTCTCAAGATGAAGTCTAGGAAATGAAGTTGCTGACTCAAACAGGTGTATTGTAAGGCTTTGAGCCCATACTGCCAGGGACCCTCAAAGCCTTCCCAGCATTCCCTGAAACCCATTCTGTAAACCCCACCTGTAACAAGCCGGATGTCACCGTGGATGCTGGTGACATAACCCTAAATGGGTCAGAAATTGTCACTACTTTCAGAGAACACAGGCAGGAAAAGGCAATGCATGAACGATCCAACTTCTGTCTTCACCAGCTATGGGTTTTACCATTCTCTGAATACTGTTTACTTGATAACTCAAACATCATTAACAAAAATAACAATAGAAGCTATTCTTTTTATTTAGCAACCACCATGGTTCAAGCATAATTTTGGACAAAGTATCTCATTTAATCCTTGGCAACAACCCAAGGAGTCAGGAATTTTTATGCCCATTTTATAGGAAAGAAAGCTAAGGTTTGGGAAATCAGAGGGATGTGCCCAAATCACAAACTGAAAGTGGCCAGGGATACAACACAAAGCCCAAGTCCAGTTCCAAAGTGCAGGGTACTGGGAAAACAGTCCCCTCACTACAAACTTCTCTTCTTTAAACCCTACTGAGGTTTCACTGGATTCGAACCATTGTTCTTATGTTAGCAACCATTTAAATACTTGATATAAACATTTACTTTCATCATTTTAAAACCGTTCCCTAACTTTTTCACCGAGTCCCTACTTACTTTTTCTTACCGATTTGTTAAGCTGGACACTCACGCAGACTTTAAGAAGCTTCCTATCCTGGACAAGCATTTGTCAGAGCTTTTAATCTGCACTTACTTTTACTGAAACAAACACCTGCGGTATATTTTAACATCCAGGCAGAATCTCTTCTCTGTTTTATTTTTCTGTTAGTCCACATCGCAGCGCATCACAGCTCAAAGCGCCCCCACTGCTGTCCCCCGGCCCTGTCCCTCCACCGCCCCCGCCCACCCCTCCACCGGGTGATCCCTTTCCAACCGAAAATCTTCAGGCTTTTCCCTTTATAAAAATTTCCTGAATAGCTGTTTTTTATACTTCTTCCTTCGATATTCTTCTCCTTTAGCTTTTGCTTATTAAGAAAATATGTACCTTTTCACAGAAAAACATGTATTTCAGTAAGATCTTCAAATATATTTGAGTTATACACATAGTTGTAGTATGCAAAATTCATCACTGCATTATATAGTGCGCGTGTGTGTGTGTGTGTGTGTGTGTGTGTGTGTGTTATTTTCTGTAGCCCAGGCTGGCTTTGAGCTCTCTGCAGAGCCTCAGCCTCCCAAGTACTCAGCCTCAGCCTCCCAAGTACTGAGACTACAGGCTTCAATATAGTTTTCATTCTTCTTTTAGGGAAGATTATTTCTATCTCATGATTTTTTATCCTATTTTCTAAGAGTTCTTATGTTTTTCTCATAAATCCAGTATTTTTACTTTCTAATTCTTATCTCTAATACTTCCTCCTGTTTTTGCTTGGATGTGGACTACTGTCTTTTTCTAGTTTGTTCAAGAATTGTATGTTTAGTTCATTTTTAAAAGTTTTTCTTGCTTAATAATCTAAGCACTAAAACTATAAAATAAAATATCCTGGAAAACAAAATACCCAGGGTATATATGATGTATATGTTTGTTATAAGGTATTTCATATAATTCCCCTTGAAGCAAGAGTTATTTTGACCAAATTTCTACTTTTATTTATTCATTTCTTTCTGCCTGTTAGACTTTTTTTTTTTAAAAAAAGATGGCTGATTCTCTAACGTGTTCTGAGGTGGGTTAATTAATGCTCAACTTATAACCCCCAGCTGAACTGAGTCAGCGTGGTGCTGGGTGTGGCGCCCACCTGAGGATTGTTGCCAACAGCATAAAAACAGAACTGGAGGGGAAGGTGGTGCTGTTGATCCTCCTGGAGAAGCCTGTCATATGGCCTTTCCTGATAAGAACTCAGCTGGTCTCATCACTGGAGGAGCTCAGGTCCTCTTTGTCACTGAGGATGGCTGCAGTTCTCTTGGGGGCTGCTCTGGTCCTTGCCTTGAGCATCACTTCCTGGATCCAGTGCAGATCCCTCAGCCTGGCATAGATCCTTCATCCCACTGGCACAGGCGTTATAGCTTCCACTGCTGACCTTTGGGCCTTCCCAGTGCAGATCCTTGGTGCAGACCTGCATGACACATTGTCACGGGCTCTAGGCCTCCAGCTGAACTCAGTGGAGGACACTGCCAGGCTCTCCACTGGGTTCTTTGGGTCTCTAGCATGTTGTCCACATGATCTCCCACACTCCTCTGCACTTTACATTTTGGGTGAATATTACAAAATAATCCTATAAATTATGTGCCCTGTATTAAATCTGTTCTCTTGCAATCCCTTCCTATAACATGTCTCTTTACTAAATTCTAGCTTTACAGCATGATGATTATAGATATATCATTTCTACATTTTGGAATAAGATACTATTTTCCTGGAGGCCTAGAAAATAATTAAATTTTTAAATGGTTCATCAATATTCAAAACAAATGGTACTTTCTATTGGTGTAATAGAATATTGGTATACAGCTATTAAATTTTCCTTTTATATTACTAAATCATTCATAGAATCACCCATTTTATTTTATAGCTTTATTTTATCTAAGAAATGAGCAACCTTCCCACAATATTTTTATCCATTTCCCACAATATTTTTAACGCTTTTTATGTTATGTATTTTGAGATTTCCTCTTTGTAAAGAATCAATTTTATCTTCATTGTACAATTTATCTGTTGTTACTATAAAATCGCCTTCCTTGTTCTTTTGATGGCTTATGCCTTGATTTAATATTGCTTCTTTTCATTTGTACTTGTCTTGTATATCTTTGCTCATTATTTTTAACCTTTCTTGGTCTCTTTGTTTTACCCATATTGCTTTCTAAAAGGTCATGGTTAAATTTTATTCTCTGCCCAAATCTAATATAATAGAGGGGTTTACCCTATTAACTACATGGGCACCTGCTGTATTTTTTCATCTTCTTCCCGTCATGCTGCATGCCTGATTTTTATTTTTATCTCCCTGAGTTGTGCCATTTGTAATGGAATCTTGCTGGTCCCTGTGCTGGCCATGTGTTCCCAGCTCACTGTAGTCTGGTACTCTGCTCTCCTAGTTCCCGAGGACCGGTAACCATTCCCCAGCCCACTGCCAAGCAGCCAAGCCACAGGCCTGTGCCCCAGCTCAACAGTGGGACTCTACTGTCAGGCCTAAGGCTTTGAGGACACAGAGAAAAGCATGTGTCCAGGGGCAGAGCTCTGGCAGTGTGCAGAAAGCCTTGAATCCTGTTTGAGTTCCAAGTCTGCTTCTCTTGTCCAGGCAGGGCTGATGGGTGGATGACAGAGAGAGTCCTTCTCCTGAGCTGGGAAGTGCCACACACTTATAAATGGCCTGTCTCTTGTTTCATCCTGGGGCTCACCCTGAGCTCAGGGAGGCTAACAGTACACACGATAGGACAGACTCCACTTGTGGGACTCTGTGGGTGACATTCTGTGACCTTACAAAGATTTTCAGGGGACAACTGAATCATTAGAACAAGGAGAAGGGAGAGAAACAGGCTTCATTAAAGGGGGACCATTCACCCTCAATGCCTGAATCCAGCACTCCACCATCTAATAATCTTAACATTGGTAAAACTAAAAATGTGACTTTTCCTTCCAATCCCAATGTACGCAAACTCAGGCAGCAATCAAAAGCCCAGAGTCCGGGCATGCCCAAAGATGCTCCCAAGAGAGCTCAGTTACACAGCCTCTGCCAGGACAGAGATATTTACAATGACTGCAAAATTGGAGCAGAGAGAGAGGGAAAGAGAGCACTTCACACCTCCGGAAGCAGACGCCAGGGAACCCGGCCAGGTAAATGAAGGCTGAGAATCTGAGTGCCGGGAGGAGCAGCCCCAACTCACACTTCTGGAAGCCAGGATGGCGCGCAACTGGCAGCAAACTGCTTGGCAGGAACGGCAACTTTAGAACCTAAGCATAGCCCCTGCCCCGGGAGCCCCACTCCTGGGGACTAGCCCGCAACTTCCCTACTCTGAAAACAGATCGAGTCGGTTTTTTCAGGCTAGTACATAGAAATCTAGGACGTTACCCAAAATGACCTTGACACTGTGGTGAAATCAAAACTCTCCACTAAGTGGAATCTGAAAAAGAACAGGAGTTTGCAGACCTAGATTAGAAGCAAGGGGAGCTGTCAACTACCGTTAGGATGGGTTAGAATTTTCCACAAGTATCACCTGGACCTGGACCTACTGCAGACGAGTCCAAGTCTCCTACTTACAGTCAGGCGGCCCTCTACTTTCTGTTCTCCTGCCAGCCTGATTAAATAAATTCCTTCACTGCTAACCCACGGGAAGACAGATGTGAACACATCTCCTGGTATCTGCCCATCACCCTTCAATATAATTTTCTCTTTGCAAAAACTCATGTCACAGAATTGGCATCTACGCACATTGGATGATGACCTGGCTCAGTATCAAACCCATCCATCCACATGGGCTCATGTATTCTCCAAAAGCCACGGGTAAAAATGCACCCAGCAACATTGAGCCTACACGTCCAAGAGGAAGCTACCCAGATGCCTATCAGCAGAAAGCCTTATGAAAAAATCTGGTGTGGGCACCCAAGGGAGCACCCTGCAGCAGCAAACATGAATGAACCACAATTATGTCCAGCAATAGAAATGGTATTTCACAAATACAGCACCAAGTGTAAGAAATCACACACTGTGAATGCTGACTGTATGCTTCCACTGATGTGAAGTTCAAAGACAAGCAAAGTTAATACATGAGGCCGAAACTGAGAATAGAGGTCATGTTTAGGGGCTAATAACTGGAAGGGCCATAAAGGGGCTCTTGGAGTAGAAGCAACATTCTGCTGTTTCACTGGGG